TGTCGTCAAATTCGATGCGTTTGGTGTAGAACGGTGTTTGCACACAATCCGAGCTACAGTAATCCAAAAAAAAATCGAAATTTTCAAAAATTTTGGTGTGCAACTTGTCGTCAATTATGATGTGGACCCATTTTTTGACAATTTTCAGTTATTTTTCAGCTATTTCTTCATGAAATTTCGACCATTTTCAGCCAGTTTCCATCATTTTTCAGTTAATTTTCAACCGTTTTTCGACAATTGCAGCCAATTTCTAGCCATTTTCCATCATTTTTAGTCCATTTTTCATGATTTCTGGCTTATATTATGCCATTTCCAGCCATTTTCTCACCTGCATATTACTAATTTTCTCCTCATACATCTCTCTCATCTCAACCATCGATTCCGCGTGGGACTCAACGATCGACTGGATTTCGTGCTCTTTCTGCTGTCGAAGTGCCTCGATTTTTCGCTCCATTTCAGAAATTCTGACCATTTCTTCTTGATTTTTATCTGGAATTCCAGAATTTTCCCCATTTTCAGCTTTCGCCTTCCAATGAGCAATCTGTTGACGGAGCTCTGTGATTTGGCTCGTTTCGGTGGCTGATGGAAACGAAGTGGGCGTGGTCTCGTGCCAACCGGACTCTTCAATGTGCTCCATTTGATTCTGGAACATTTTAGAAATTTTTGAATTTTTCAGAAAATTGAAAAATCAAATTTTTAGATTTTTCCAAAATTTTGGAAAAAGACAAATCGCAAAATTTTAAATTTTCCTCACAAATCAAATGTTTCGATTTTGAACTTCAAAAAATTCGAATTTTCAGATATTTTAAAATTTTAAAAAAATCGCAAAAAAGTAAATTTTTGGGGATTACTGTAGCATCAAACTTGACGACATTTTGCACAGAAATTCAATTTTCCGTGCAATGTGTCGTCAAATTCGATGCATTCTGGTGTAAAATGATGTCTCGGAGCTACAGTAATCTAAAAATCGAATTTCTGTTTTTTCTCATTTTTTCGGGCTCAAATTTTATATTTTAAGATTACGGTAGCTCGGATTGTGTGCAAACACCGTGCGACACCAAATGCATCACATTTGACGACAATTTGCCCAAAAATTTCGAGTTACTGTGTAATTTGTCGTCAAATGTGATACATCTTGCGTGGTACGGTGTTTGCACACAATCAGGATTACAGTAATCCCAAAATTGGGTTTTCGCTGTTTTTTTGCGAATTTTTTGACATAAATTTTGTCATTTTCAGCAGAAAATATCAATTTCTGGGGTTACTGTAGCTCGGATTGTGTGCAAACACCGTTCTACATTAAATACATCAAATATGACGACAAGTTGCACAGAAAT